CAAAATTCTTACAGACCTTTAGGGCCATGTGTCGAACATGCCCACTGAGTTTCGTTCCGATTGACCTCCGTTAACCTTGTCAAATAGATGCTTAAACTTTTTTGGCCAATGTTTTTTAAGATACGCGAATGTCCTCATAGAAACTTATGCCATTTAGGACAAAGACACTGCATACCAATTTTCAAGTCGTTCGGACCAACGGTTGCAAAGTTATAGTTGTTTTTATGTTTTTTCCATCTTATAGCGCCACCAAGTGGCAGAGCTGCGCATTTTTTTATTTGACCAAAGATTGAGATCTTACACATGTGTACCAAGTTTGGTGAAGATATCTCATTCCATTCAAGAGTTATAGCTACAATTATCTATTGGCTACGTTAGCATAAAAAGTTTTTTGCATACTGTTGTGCGCCAAAAACTTTTTTTAATAATTATTGATATTCAGTGTCCAGAGAATATTTCTGCTGTGGTTTGGTTCCGATTGAGCGAAAAACCTAGGACTAGATCGCAAAAGTAGGTTTCAGACATTACTCAATTTTGGGGAAAACCCGGACATCATAGAGAAAATCTGACGCAGTATAGATTTTTTTTTTCAGTATATACTTTTGTTCGTGTTGACCCAAGGATTGCAACGATGTAAAGTTTTTTAGTCTACGACAAACGGTGTATGAGCTAGGGCCAAAAATGTCTGAAAAATTTGTTTTTGCGCTGTAGCGCCCCCTTTTGTTCAATTGGGGCGAGTCTTTGGATCTGAGTAGCGGTCAAGACTACTACGATCTGACCAAGTTTCAGCTTTCGAGGCCTTAGGGTTTGGGCTGCACGATCAGTTTTAGGGAAGAAGAAGAATTTTTAAAAAATCCTTACAATTATAATAGGGTTTCAGCACTACATGCTTGAACCCCTAATAAAACATGGTCGCCCGTGATTTTGCCAAGTAAGCCATGTTCCTGGATCAACATCTTTTGTTGATCCTGGATCAACATTACTGTTCACAAATACAGACTTAACCCAATCCCCACCCATAAACCTAAATTTACCCATAATTTATTCCTAAAATCAGAGGGAAAGAAGCACCTAATCCTGATTGTAAGCCTAAAACTGACATTTCCTGAAAAGTTATCTCTCAATTCTGATTGGTTGATTGGAATGATGTTCCAGGATCAACAAGGATGTTGATCCAGGAATATGTTGTAGGCTACTTGGTCAAATCACACTCACCAATAAAACATATAGGAAAACTTGATAGATGTTCATACAACTCAAGTTTAGAGAAAGCAATACAAAGACGGCAAATTTAAAACTTGACATTTATGGTCTGTACATTTAAGAAGTAGGCCTAGATGAATTCAAGTTTTAGAAAAGCCATGCAGGAGATATTCAATTATTGTTATAAAGGCAGATAATACTGCAGGTACAATTGCAAGTGTATATTAAATTATCTACACCGTTAAAGTTGTCGAACATCATCGTGTGATTCAATATTTCACTTATGAGATCACCTAACTCGTTTTTCCAAACATACTGTTTTTGTCAGGGAATGGCAGCTTGCGGTACCGCATTCGGGAAACCGCAGTCATTCCACGGCTCTCAAATGTTGGAAATATTCGGCAAGTTATAACCCGTAGAAGAGGCTTGTCGCCTCCACAAATGATTAGTCTGACAGTATCAATGCATTGTGTACATAGTGTGTGAGTGTGTGTGTGTGTTGATATCAGGTGGGTGGTCTGCAGCAGAGCAGGGGAATTCAGAAGAGACACAGGAACATTTCTCACACACACAGGAAAAAGAAAGACAGATTCATGAGATGTTGAGGAGTCATTTCAGACCTTTGTTTAGTTGATTATTTCCCCCTACACTTATATGTTCCAGCTCTATGTTTAGTGTGTTTTCTGGGACTCAAACCCAGTGACCGTCGTGTTGCGAGCGTCGTGATCCAGCAGCTGATTAGTGCCTTATAATGTCAGTCAGAAACTTGATATTTTAGTTCTTCCTGATCATTTCCAGACACTCTGACGTGATCTTTGAGACTCTTTAGCACATTTACTCTTATCGAACATCCTTGTGCAGGAATAATGGTATCTGGCCTGCTTCCTCCTCGTGACCTCAGCGCATTTCTGAAATAACAGCATATTGAATATTTCTGGGCTTTATCGTTTGTGTGTTTGTGTGTGAAGGACGATAGTTCGATTCATGTCTGTGTGTTATTGAGAAAGAGACTCATAGATTGTGTTTAAATGAGCTGCGGTTTACACCGATTACTCTGTGTGTGTGTGTGTGTGTGTGT